CTTTTGTGCAAGCAGGATAGCAGCTGGTTTTGCTTACACTTTTACCTTGGCAGGATGTTTTCCATACCCACTGCCAAAAATATATAGCATCTGGCTTTTTTCAGCCTGCTCAACTTGAGTTTCTGGCTTGACAGACGATTTCTTGCTGCACTGATTTTTAGAGGCTATGTGTCGCAGAGGAGTGATTTAGGATCCTTAAAGCATCTGTAAAAGTGCAACTTAACAAAGTTTGATGGCAAGGTTCACTCTTAACTACTTACTACATGGGAGAAATGTACAAAGGAAAATTGAGTTAGAACCGATTTAGAATGATTTGCACAGAGACTGGAGATGCAAAAAGGTAAGGGACACTCTCCTGTTGAGTCATGAGGTTCAGAATGGACCCCTTTGCTTTCTAAACTCCTGATGGAGCTTAGGTGCGGCTAGATCCAAACTTAGTCTCAGACTGGTGAATGGTTTATATCTAAGAGATTCCAAGGATAAGAAAAACCTCCCATTGAGTCATGAAGTTCAGAAAGGACCCCCTTGCTTTCTAAACTCCTTCTCAGAGAGGAGTCTAGGTGCGGCTGGATCCAATCTTAGTCCCAGACCTGGTCAGCGGTTTATGGCTAAGGGAATTGTAAGTGCTCAATCAATCCGTTATATCACTTAGTTAGGATTTCAAAGTTTAGCATGCTATTGATCACTTACTGATCCATCTGGGTGTCCAGTGTTAGTTTGCTCTGAAGTTTGAGCCCTCAGTTTCCTGAAACAGACTCTCAGGCATCAAATCTTATAAGATAAATAATTCAATAGAGTGGTACAGCAGCAGGGTCAGCTCCACCAGGGTGCCTCTGGGGAGGGACCGACCTGAACAAAGAAATCCCTGGGCAATTATACCCTTACAGACTATTCACCCACCCCTCACGCGCTCCTCACGCTCGCTTTGCGCGCCTTCTGCACACCCTCTGGTCTAGTAGTGATTCTGGTCTGAGATCTTCTGACCCCTTACTGGGTTCCTTCACTGGCTCCAGAAGGGCTGTTTGTTATCTTGTTGAGTTGCAGGGGCTGTTGACAGTTGTAGCCTTGAAGCCTCCTTATCTCCTGAATTATGCTGGCTCTGGAGGCCCCTGTTTTGACTAAGTAGGTACGTGTTTGGTAAATCTAAGTGCAGGTTTACAGCTTGCGGCTGAAGACTTCAGCAAATCTAGCTACTCGTGCTAAGTAAGTAAAGCTAAGCAAACAGCGTACTGAATCACACAACATTATAACTCTAAGTGATTCATTCTATTTAAAACTTACTTATTTAAGCTAAATGACTAATATCTCTTAAAACTGAGGGGCATCCCCGCTCAAGGGGAGAGTTGCCTGGCGTGCAGTCCAGTTGCCACACAGGGAGAACTGAAACTGGGCTCATGCAACGATCTGTCACTGGTAAAAGATCTCATTGCTGGAGATCGCCGCCATGCAGCCATGCTGCCTAGCAGGGAGAGCTCAAAGAAGGCTCGCTTAGGCTGTCATATTTATGGGATAAAGTGGTTGGCTCGTAGTCAAATTGCATACAATGGGAGAGGTATGCATGAGACTCCTTGTACCCACAACTTTCTTTGTTCTCGCTGTGTCGCTCTGATGCGTTGTGGGTTTCCTAGAGGAGTTCTTGGCTCAGCTATGGCTCAGGCCTTTACCTCCTTTGGAGCTTGTACCAAACTACTGCTAGTTTGGTTAAGGGGGGGGTTGAGTGCATCTGCCACACTGTGCTTCGAAGGCACTCAAGTCTAGTAGCTTGTGTACGTGCATACTGAGGCCATACTGACTAGTCTCTTAGCTGTATTATTTACAATAATATTGGTTGTCCTGTACAGATATTCAATAAATGGTTACTATCAAACAGTTTTTAGCAACAAGTTATAAATACATACCTAACTGAGTGGAGCTAATGGATTTCATTTAATAAAAACTGACACTTTTAATTGCTACTTTCCACAAGGAAGGTACCTCTACAGAGATCTTTACTGGGGGGAAATACATAACAAAGAGCTTGCCTGAATACAAGACTGTTAACCGTGAACATGTTTTAGTTCACTATGAAATTTGAGTTTGCCTTTTCACAAAAGTGAAAGCCTACTACTTTTTCCCCATTAGATTGGAATCCTCTTTTCCCCTTCTTTTTATTACGTGGCTTGTTGTTTGTTTGTTTGTTTGTTTAAAAGATACAGCCTCTTTCCTTATTGAAGAGGATAGCCTATGCATGCCCATTAATTTCTAAATTTTAAGTTCCTATGTGTAAGTATCTCAGATTGTGTGGAGGCTGCAGTACTTCCTCTGTGGTGGTGAATACACCATAGTCGTGCAAAGGGCAACCCCCTCCTCCTTGTCTTCCTGGCTTGTCCTTCCTAAAGAGTCCGTATCCCTCCGTTGCAGCACTCCAGTCATGCAAGCCGCCCAGTGCATCTCTGGGATCCCAACAAGATCTTGCGCCTGCAGCTGCACACAGATCTCTAATTCCTTGTGTTTACTTTGCATGCTGCCTGCCTTAGCGTGCAGGCACTTCGGAGGGACTTTCTCATTTACACACAAAAGCTTGAGGTGACCCCACTTGAGCCCTGTTTTGTTCATTTTGTGTTCCTCGTTGTTGACATCACCCCAAGCCCTTTACTTATCAGCCCAGTCCATCACTCCCTCAGAGGGCTACAGTAATTTTCTCCGTCCTTCGTGGTTCTTGGTGTTCAGGTGCAATTCCAAATGATAATTCATATCTGCTTGTAAATACTTGGAAGCAGCCTCTTGCTCAGGGACCACTTTGAAGGTTTGGTTTGGTTTTAAATATTCTTTTGCAGTTCTCTCATTATCATACTATGGTACGATAGTACCGTAGAAGGACTACTTGGTTAACCCACTTCTCTTCTTGGCCTGATGGAATTCAGAACATTATGGAAAGGTCTTTCTAGTTACAGGAGTTACCTTGGGATTGAGTTGGATGATTGTCATTTCCCAAGTATGGGAGTGGGAAGCAAAAACCAGTGAAACAAATGTTCCCAGATGTAAACCATGGTTATATTTCTATCTTATGGTGATAACTTGCTTCATGTATGTCTGGTCTAGACTTACTTTAAAGCAAAAATACAGTGGTGGCTGGCAAACAGGAAACATTGCAGATCTTTCTTCTCAGTCTGTTTGAGCTTTTGCATGTATTACTATGTGCCATGAACATACAGCTATATGTATTCATACTACTCTTGTTCTTGCAGACAACACTCACATGGGGGCCCTACTTGTGGTTTCACATGCTGCGAGTTGCCACATCAACCTTATCAGGTATGGCTTTATTTAATTCTTGGGTAAACCAGTAATGCAATATTGAAAGTCACTGTGACAGACTGTAAATCAACTTTGTAAGCTACTGGCCATTTTTTCAAAAGTATGAATGAACCTGTATTTTAATCTGTGGAGACATACTCTCTTGTCTTAGGTGCTCTTTTTTTTACTTTCAGTCAACAACTCTTGAATGGAAGAACAAACAGAAAATACCCTTTTGCTGAACACTTTTTTTTTCCCCCTTTTTCTCCATATGGAGATAGGGTGGTGTTGGCAAGGGAGTATATCAGCTTTCTATAAAGTTTTGTATGGAACTGTTTTGTGTGATGTTATCTCAAAAGAATGCTGCTTGGAGTAACTAAACTGACAGTTTTTATGAAGAAGACAACTAGAAATTATCCCAAGAACACACCTAGTCGTGTGCTTTACAACAGACTTCTGAGGTTACAAAATAAACAAAAATAAGACTATTGTCAAGAGTCTTAAACTCACTGCATAGAAGTTTATTTGAGCTGTGGACCTCATAAAATTTTGCAAAGTTTTAAAAATGCTTGTCCTAGTCTGTGTTCTTCCCAAGGTGGAAAGTATCTTTAATGGTTTTTTTTGACAAATATTGTGGTTTCTGTCATTGTGCATCTAATTTGGAGTATTTTTTAAAACTATTTGTAGTCTATTCTATTAATTAACCTATCCTTATTTTTAGAAACACTTTAATGTACAGTGTAATTCTATTCCTTGTCATATCTGTTCTTCATACACAAAAGGTAGATAGTGCTTTCCTTTTTTCAGAAATCTTTTATGAATTTGAAGATTAGTACTTCCTTCTTCCCACTTCAGTTTTGCCTCTTACATTTGTAATTTGAACTGGTCTTTTGCACAGAGCTCTGGATGCCAGGATATCTATAAAATTAGTTATTGTGAATATCCATTGAAGCAGGCAATTGCTAACTTCTGACTTGTTTTCCCTGAAGATGACGAACTCATTTGCATCCTGAGGCCAGATTTGCAATTTGAAGTGCAATATATTTGACTTCTTGCTTGCCTTTACTCAATAACCAGTGCTGTAGCCATCATCATGGCAAAGAGACTGACTGACACAAGCCCACCTGTTCCATACTTCTGACTGTACACCACCTGTTCTCGCAGAGCAGTGCTGCATGCAGTCTCCAGCTTGAAAACTGAGACAGCTGAAACCTAAATATTTTATTAATCCATTAGTATGCAACACAGAACATGGTTAAAACTGCTCCTGACTTGAAGTATGCATACATCAATAAATAACTCTCTAGTTTGCTGGTACCATTAGACTGAAGTGCCAATGCAGCTAGTAGCCATGTATTTTTGTATAACCTTAATTTTCAGTTAAAGTTCAGTTAAAGGATTATCCTTTAACTGATCCCCTAGCAAAACAAACCTGGATCCAAAGCTGAAACTAGTAGAATTCACACAGTAGCACCATGTAGATGTTAATTGATTTCCATGTTCCTTTCCTTTTGTTCATTCTTTATCTTAAAGAACAATTATTAGTATATTGAGCTAATAATTATATAAAAGTAGATTAGCCTAGCAGATTTTGGTTTTGTCTTTTGAGTGAAGTAGGACTATGGAAAACCGTTCAGGAAAGATGATGATACCTTTTAAAATAAAACTGTGCTTAAGAATTTTCTTCTAGATACTAATTGTATGTAAACCTCTCCATTTTTTAGTGTGTGATTTCCTTGGGGAAAAGATTGCATCTGTTCTGGGGATAAGCACACCAAAATACCAATATGCCATTGATGAGTATTACAGAATGAAGAGAGAGGTATGTGTGTGAGATGGGGTTCTTGCACTCCTTTTCTCCTAACTTGCCTTCCTTGGTATTTTAAAAAGACAAAATTGTATTCCAGGATTAAAATGAAGTTTTAGAACCTCTATTTCAGCTTGCCTTCAGTTTTCATTTGATGCATGATTAATGCTTGCTTATCCATCAGCCTTTTCTCACCAGCTCATCAGTCTTAGAACTGGCAGTGTCCTGACCACTGCTGTAGTTGTTTCTCTTGTACAATGCACTTTCAAGTCAACAGTGTGAGAAAGTTGGATGGAGCAGTTACTGGACACTGTAAAGAGGCAGCTGCTAGGAATATACTTTCCAACTCTAAAACTTGTTCAACAAAGTGTCAAGGGTAAATTGAATGGGATGTTACCATTTGTTATAAACCATAACTGGAAATGACTGATAGGTAGCCAGTGCTTTACACAAAAACCCCTCAATAATCGTCATTTGGAAGAAATGGGAAACATATTTAAAGCTTTACTACTTACATTTTATTTTTGATAGCTCTTTATTATTAAGAGCTGAAAAAGCTGTAGAGAAGGTAGACCTATCACTGTTGCTGTTGACTAAAAACTGCTTATCTAGATATGTGACGTTTTTTCTGTGTTTATTTAACACAGTTTAATCCTTTGCTTTTGGCATATTTTTTTTTTCTGTAACGGGAATTCTGGAATACACCTCATCTTATGATCAGCTAGCAACCATTTTCTAGTGGAACAAATGTCCTTGCCTTGTACTGGCCATGCTCTTACGGAAAGCCTTAAAGTGAATGTAAGTGGTAAACAGTAGCTTACGAATTACCTATTTTTAGGAGGAAGAGGAGGAACAGGAAAACAAGATGTCAGAAGAAGCAGAAAGACAGCATCGGGAACAGCAGAACAAGCCACAAGCTGAAGCTCCTGTCCAGACAGACCAGCCTGAAGCAACAGCATGCACTTCATTCGTGAATGTAAACTTTGAAAATGAGGGAGATTGCCAGTCCACTGGGGAAAATAAACAAGATGTAGTTCCCGTCCCTCCTTAAGTGTAAAGCTCTGTGTAATGTAGGAAATAGGAAGTGTCAGGTGTCACAATCTGGCTATAAGAAGCAGGAAAAATAGGATTATACTTGTTCAGTGAAATACAACTTCTAGAATTCTTATTGATCAGGAGAGAGCTAGGCACTGTCTGTTCAGTCTGTCTGCCTAATAAAGGCTGAGGCATTCTGCCAAATTGGCCCTTCAGTTAAAATGAAAATTGCACTACAAACATTGGTCTAAAATGGAATGTGTGAGCTAATTTCTGTGTAAAGCAAGTAAAAATGTCTTTTCTTTGAATTGCTGTGTCTCTAACACCTGTGGATTACAGATGCAGTGCTGTTTCCTACTTCTAAATGCCTATTTCTGATTTGCACATTGTTTGCAACTCAGCTCTCTATGAATAGATTAATAGGAATCAATATCCTGTAACTCACAAGTCATTATAATAGCGTCTGATTTCCCCTATTTATTGTCACTGTTGTATGCATGGGGTTTTTTTCTGTTGTTGTTTAAAACGAGATAATGTTAGATTTAATGTTAATTAGATTTAAGGGTCCACTGACTTTTTATTAAAAAAAAAAACAACAAAACTTTAAAGGAAGCTGTAAACACCATTAACTTATTAACAAGTACCAGCACTCTTGGAGGCTAATCAGTGCTGTAGCAAAGTACAGAACTTGCAACAGTGTAAGATGTTCTCCCAGTACTCCAAGTCCAAGAATTAAGAGACCCACCAATACTTCACATGCTCTGAATGGTCCTGGGAAATAAACTGAAGTCTTGCTAAATTATACTGAATGCACTGGACACTGTTTATGGTACCAATCTAGAACTACAAAAACTTTTTTGGACATAGATTACCTGAGTCAGTGTGCTTGATTAACCTAAACAGACTATTTGTTTAATGTTAAATTACCAGTAAGGGATGTGCCATTGCAGATGTTTCCCCCCGCTTTAGCACAGAATACATAAATAACTATAAATCACAAAACCAAACTTAGTATTCTTCCTTTTTCTTAAATAAACAAAACACTTTGCTGCAATACTGCAACAACAGTAATTTTTATTTTTGCTTAAGTGAAATGCAGGTAGCTCCACAGCTTTTAAGTAGCCTCAAATACGAGTTAAGGCTATTTTACTGCAATGACTGTCGTTCTACTTGCAGCTTGTAAAAGGTGAATGGTTTACTTTATGACAATCAGATGTTAGTGCCCCAGTCACTTTTTATAGAGAATCGTTCTAGATAAAGGAACAGAAAATGTGCACTAGTTACCATGTGAAACATTACTTCTGTCCTTGAGATTTCTAAGTAAAATTTAAAAAATAGTCTTCAGTAAAATTTTGTGTTGGGTATCATCAGATGTCCCTGGCCTTGGTCCCACTACCAACTAAGGAGCCTGATGTAACATTAGAGGCCCAGTAACTTGGCTATTAGTTTCCAGAGATCAGTTATGTTTTTCAGACAACCCTCTGCCTGAACTAGTGTCCTGTAGAGCACAAACTCCTTCTCCTCTCATCCGTCCTTAGCATTCCAGCACTACGCTAAATCTTCTGAGGATTCAGTCATCAGCAGCTCTATTCCATCTGTTTTGATACTCTGTTCTTTGCCTCTTTTTGAATTGTAAGACAGGGTGCTGAAAGCTGGTTAAAATCATTCCTTAGCCCTGAACATCTGTATGGGAGAGCTTGGTTCAACACCTGAGGAATACACAGAAAAACAGCTTGTTGGGAGTTCTTATACTGTCAAAGACAGAAAGCTTCACACAGCTGAAGAGTAAAACCTTCACAGCTGAAAGATGCTTTGCTTTTCTGTCAAGAAATTAATGTCAGTTGTGTTGTTTCCCCCTCCCTCTCCCTACTATCTGTTGCATCAGAAATGCTCTCACTGCCTTGGGTTTAAACTTCTTTGTATGAAATACTGTATTACTCACTGTGCCTTAACTTAATCCTTCCTTTTGCAAACTATATGGAAAGTGGTTACTTTCATAATAGTTTAAATTTTCTGTAAATGCATTAATTAGTTATTTTATATTTAATATAATTTTTGAACTGGAAGTTGGCTATGGCTTTTCATTTAAAACTGTGTGGTCTTTGAAACTTTATGCCTGCACACAGGTGCATGGGCCTGTTCACTGTTTTCATCTTTACCAAGTCACACATCCTAGTAGAATATTCAAACACTGAAATTCAAAATGTCATACTACTCCCACCCCTTCCTTACAATCTCATGTAGTACTTGTTAACAAGCTCAGTGCGTTCAGCACTACCTCAAACTAATAAATAATGCAGGATTGCAACCACCTCTGGCCTGGAGCTACTGTAATTTTATCTGAAAGTTGAAACATTTCTACAGCTTTATTAGAGTTTCACTGCTTTAACTACTGCTTTAGCTCAGCTGTACAATTAAGTTAAATTACATAAAATACTTGCACAGGAGGTTAAGTAGGTGAAAGTCTTTATAGAGGTGTTTGGCTTAGTTTTAGCTAGACCTAAAGGTAGTGCAGTTTTATTTCTGTTAACCTCTTAAGAATTGGGCAACTATTGAGTCAGAAAGGATAAGTAAATAACTATTGAACTGTTAGACACTTAAAAGCTGGACACATACAGAGGAAAAAGGCCTAAACTCTTTACCTCTTATTGAAGACTTTTGCCTTTACAACAGAATGCTCAAGAGCACTATCATTACGGGAAGCCATACAGAATTCAGTGGGAGGCTTGGGATGGCTGAGTGGATACAGGCCACTGCTGAAGCCAGCAAGAACCACATCCTTACTTTCAGGGTAAATTCACATTTAGAATAGGGTATTTAAATAAGAACAGGGCTTGGTACACAGGGAAAAAGTCAAAAAATATTTATTAAAAAAAAAAAAGATAATTTTTACCTTTTAAACAACATTTGCTTTTTTGGTTTCAGAAATTAGTTCTGTGATTCCTGTATACGTACCACATTTTATATTGGGGGGAGGGGGGAGGGAAGTAAAAAGGAAGAGGCATTGATTCAGATAATGAATGTTTCTAGCTTTCAACACTTGGTGCATCAGATTGAACAGGAGCAGACTGTATCCACAGAGATATCTCAATGTCACGTATCATCAACATCACCAGTGTTGTCATTATCACTTGCCACAAGGACCTCTCTGTTCTCGTATGTCCAGAACCCATTCAGATCAATTAGAATGCTGGTAACAGTGTCTCCTTGGCTGCTATTGATTAAGTCTTGAAGGGAGATTTTGTAAGGATCCTTAGGCTTCACCATATCAAAGATTTCATCCTATGAAAGAAAAGTCAAAAAACCCCACACATCAGTGAGCAGAATAATGGCTACTTTATACCACATACAGAATGATCTTTGGGTAACTAGTGCCACCCACACCGATTTACCAAAAAAAAGCTGTTAAGTCCCAAACCATTTAAGATACAAAGCACAATAATTGGCTACAGATAGGACCAGTGTGCTCAGCTCCCACATCTCAAATAAGAATTTGCTTTTCTGGGCAGGCTTTGGCCTCAAAATGGCAACATGAAACTCAGTTCGCTTGTATGAGCTAAGTTTTATAGAAGCTCTTGTACTTTTTCTTAAGTACTAAAACTGCTAAATGTAAAGTAGGCAGTAATAGAGTTTTACAGACAGGTTTTTTCAGCCACCAGTCCGCCCCCACCTCCGAGGTATGATCCTGAACCATAAAATAGACATACCAAGTATCTTCCAATGTAAGGCACAGCAACATGTATTTAACAGGTACTTTTGTCTATTAGTAAAGAAACTACTAGAATAGTTGCATACCAGATTTCTTACAGAGCAATTGCTAAATACAAAGACATTTTCAAACCTGTGAGTAGGACAAGTCAGATCACGTCTACTATTCTGCAAGTAAATATACAACCTAGAAACTATGATACAAGTAAATTATGAAATGCTTATTCAAGTATTTCATGTAGTACTCTATTCAGTAAAACTAACCTTGACATCCTGAAAAGAAACTGGTTCTTGTCCATGGATTTTCATTTGTTCCTGAATAGCCTAGAAAAAAAAGAAAAGTTAGGAATAGGTAGTGCAGTGTTACACTGACACTGTATGAAACTTTTTTAATGCTTCTGCATTTTAAGCTGTATTGCCCTGTAACAAAGCATTCATGGTACAGCTTGCAATCAATTCTCTTCCACAAGTGAGACAGCGGTGAGTTAAAGCATAATCTGTGATACGCATCTCTAGGTTCACAGTTCTTAGTCAATATGGGAAGAATCCAACTTTCATTATGACCAGTGTTTCAATGCTCTGCAAATGGGATATGCAAACACTTGAATATTATCACTCAACACTCAGAACTTAAGATAGTAATACACTCAAACCAAAAGGTTCAGTTTTCTGACAAAATGTGAAATACAGACTAGGGAAAGAGAGAAAGGACCAACCATCAGACAGACAAAGCAGTGTGGCTACTCACACTTCCAACTACTTTGAAAATGGAACCTGTATTCTGGTTGATTAAATAATAATGTGAGGAAGACAATGTATTTGTCTATTTGAGCATCTGTCCATGCATGGAAGAGTTCTCCCAGTTCAGGCTGTTAAGTGGGCATTTCTCATTTTGAGCAAAATAGTATTCCCTACTGTTAGTTCTTTTAATGTGGTACTATTTAAATAGCTGCATTACCAAACCTCTGCCTGCAGATAACAACTACGAACACAACTGTTTGTTTCACTAGCACAAGCTGCATAGCCTTGTCAGCACAGCTGTATCAGCATAGCCTCTGTAGGTGCAGACCTACCCACACTTACGCTAGCAGAAAAGCAGTTATTCAGAGAGTCAAAAGGAACTGTTCTGATTTCAAGGAAAACTTAGACCATTCCATTTCCAAAAGTTTAAAGGAGGGAGACATTTTAGAGTATGATCAAGCATCTGCTGTGTTCGAGGAATCTTTTCAGTAACTAAACCATAGAGTAAATACGTAACTGGAGACATGCATAAAAATAGCTATGCCACAGCAGCTTATGCAGAATTACCTTGTTAAACTGCTTTCATATTAGATCACTTATGTACTATGACAACACTAAAATTCATGTTTTTGTAAAATGTAAAACTGTAAATTAACACCCTTTATTAAAATTAGAGTCGGAGACAGTTGATACGGCTCCTGGCCTCCCTGAATCCTACTGCCATGTGAACAGAAGTGGAGAAAGCAGTGGGAATTGTGAGCTGTAAAAGCAGGGAGAGAAGATGAGTCCTTGCTTAGTTTCTCTAGGATCCTTAGTATTGCCAAGTCCTGGCCCAACAGCTGCCCATCAAGCGTACAACACAGCTACAACTACTAAACAAAGTTCATGATGAAGTTCGAAAGGCACATGCAAAAGTCCTGCCCGCACCTGCAGCAGAATAACCCTATGTGGCAGTATGCTCTAGGGGCCAGCTGGCTAGAAGCAGCCTGGCAGGAAAGGTGCTGGAGGTCTCAGTGCACAAGAAGGTGAACAAGAATCTGCAGGGTGCCCTTGTAAGCATGAAGGCAGATAAATACTGGGCTGCACAAGCATAGCTAGCAGGTTCGGGGAGGTGATTATTCCTCCTGACTCAACATTTGGACACAGTACTCCAGATGCAGCCTCACAGCTTTGGGGTGCCCTTTATGAGACACCGACAAACCAGTGGGAACCCACTGGAGGGCTATCAGGATACTTGGGGGCCTAAAGCACAGCACAGCTGAGAGGAGAGGCTTGAGATTAATTCACCTGGAGAACAGAAGGCTGAGGTGGCGGGGGAAGTCTAATTATTCTCTTCAACTACCTAGCAGGTGGTTAGAGACAACACAGCAAGACTCTTCTTGGAGACACACAGTGAAAGGGTAATAGGCAGCGGACACCAGCTGCAGCGAAAGGCATTCCAACTAGACAAAGATGGGACAAAGGATGAGGGGAGAAAAGTCGTCTCAGTAAGGGTAGTCAGACACCAGAACACATTGCCCAAAGAGGCTGTAGCATCTCCCTCCTTGGAGATACCCAAAACTTGCCTGGACAAGGCCCTGAGCAACTCGACCTAACCATGAAACTGGCCCTACCCTGAGCAGGTGGTGGGAGCAGGTGACCTCCAAAGGTCCATTCCACCCTAAATTATTAGAAAAGGTCTTCCAGATAAGAAGCCTTACTTTTACAAAATGATACGGTTGTAGTTACTGTCGAAGTTCATGTTCAGCTGGAGACTTACAACAATACAGAAATAATGTGGATATAAGATTATGTCTTGAGCAGGCCTGAATGCTTTACTTAATGAGCTGAATGATGTACCTTGTTCATCATACTTTGAGCATATGGCTAAGAACAATGACATTGTTTAGTTTTACAGTTATAATACAAAGATCCCCATAAAGAAAACTGAAGTGCTTGTCCCTGTGTCTGAATAGATATCACTGAAGAGATCTTGTACGTAAAAAAAAAAACACAAAAAACCGCACTCATAACTCAGCCTAAACCATCCACAGCAAAAATACTATTTTACTACATGACATTCCCCTTCCCAAGACACCTCAGGTATCTATTAAAAAAAGACAAAACAACAAACATCCACCCCACCCCAAAACCAAAACCACCACAAGCCAGAAGAAAAACAAAAAAACCACTCACATACAAACCACAATTTGGAGGAAGACTTTGTAAGTCCTGGGTTAAAATTAACAGCAACTAAAAAAAGTAATTTAAGCTTATTTTAAATCTCTTTTGGGAGAACACATGAAAATGTGTAATATGAAAAATGCAAGAAGCTTTTTGCAATCAATACACTGAATGAAAAATCCCGTATCTGTACAGGCCCATCACTGCATTTCATTATTTTCATTTCTTCTACTGATTTTTAGGATTACAGTGGAAATTAAAATCATGGGCAATAACCAATTAGAACCATCAAAAGAGATTTTAATAGGTAATCATTAGGCAATTTTAGGACAACTTAAATAAAAAAAACCACCAAAACAAAACAGAAAATATTTTTCCTAAACGAAATCAAAACAGTTAATTTCAACTGCAGATAAAATGTTGAAAATACCTTTTGAATTCTTTCCAAGTTTTGGAATATTTTTTTTAATATTTTAAATCTTCTTACAAGTAGTTACTAGCCTCCCAGTGGGTATTAGTAATTTAAAGTGATTCCCTGCAGATCTGCATGCAGAAGCACAGAGGCTATAACACTATAAACACAGAAAATGGCCTACCTGTATAAAGAGACTTACCCTAAAGAAATAATTAAGGGAAAAAACATTCAGGTATCCTTTGTTCTCTATATCAAGCAGTTTGAAAATGTATTGCAGAGCTGCAGGCTCCTTTCTGTTTTCTAATGCAAGCACAAAGTCCAGGTAGGTTTTATAGTCCTAAAAGTAGATACAATCATGTTTATTACAGTCGTCTTTCTAAATTGATTTTGCAAGCAGGAACTTTATAATTGGCAGCTATTTCATTGTAGGGGATCAGTCTATTTTCTGAAAAAGACAACATGAAATAGAAAATGGCAGCTACCACCAACATGAACAGAAAAGTTAGTTTTTAATGACTGCTGCTGATAGGAAATCCTGCCATTTTAGAGGTAAAATAGGATTCCAAGCATACATCCAAGTTAAACATGCTATATATACTTTAAAACAATGTTTAATACATCTTTAGACTGCTGAACATACCCAGCTAGTGAAAAAAAGCCATAGAAAACATTTTCCTTACCACAAATTAAACATCCAGTGGCAGTAAGCCTACCATTACCAAACAGTGAACTATACGGCCAATTAAAGTATATAATCTTTGGACCAGAGTAGGTAGTTTGGCAAATCACGTGGTAGAAGCATTAGTGGACACCACGAATATGTACCACACTTTTCTTTTTCACTAGTACTGATTCTTGGTTTCCCAATCAAGATACAGTTGTGACAAGGACAGAAATCCTTCAAGTCCTATGTATATAATAGCCCTGTCTACCTTAAACACCAGAGTTGTGCTGCCGTTCAGAGGGAGCTTGACAGCCTGGAAAAATGGGCTGACAGGATGCTCATCAAGTTCAACAAAGGGAATGCAAAATCCTGCATTTGGGGAGGAATAACCCCATGCATCAGACATGCTGGGGGCTGACTTGTCAGAAAGCAGCTTTGCACAGATGAACCTGGGAGTTCTGATGGGCAACAAAATTGAACACGCACCAGCAACATGCCCTTGCAGCAAAGGCTGCTGACAGCATCCTGAGCTGCAATAGCAAGAGCTTTGCTGGCAAGTCAAGGAAGGTGATCCTTCTCTACTCAGCACTGCTTAGACCCCATCTGAGCACTGGGTCCTGCTCTGGTCTCCCCTGCACAACAGAGAGACGGACTTACTGCAGCAAGCCCAGCAAGGGGCAACTAAGAGGATCCCTCACCTCCTCAATGATTCTGTGATTCTACAAAAAACTGCTAAGGCAACAGAAGGACCATAAAGTGAATTTGTAATTTATCACTTTCAGAGTTTAGTCATCTGAATGCAGACAACAAGAGTAGCAATACATTAAGTAAAGCTTTCAAAATAAATATAGATAAAAGGTTTTATTTTAACTCTAATTTAGTTAGACTTCCCATTTTTTCACAGCTATGGAAAGCTTACAACAAAAACCAGTTGTCTTCATGAAGAAGTGGACAGGTTAGCCGACTTGCACTAGTCTCAAGTGTGCCACTTGTCTTTAGTTCTCTTTAAAGAATTACATGTTAACTAAAACCCACTGCTACATCTATACATTTTTTCAACATGCACTTTATGTTATTGAATCTATGAGAAGCTTTATCCTAGGCTGTCTGGATTTTCTATCACCTCTGCTTTTCAAAACAAGCAACTTGTCTTTAAGCCACGCTGTGATCACCTTGCTGTTAAGAAAATTAATTTTCTAATCTGCTGCATGGTCATTTGTGTGCACAATAATAAACAAAGGTTACTTTACCTCAAGCTACTTTTTATTTCAAAGATACTGATTATGACACATTTCCGGTCTCAATAAGCCAAAGCTTTTATATTGTGAATGAAGTGAAAATATGCACTTACCATTTCACCATCGTAAGTTAAGCATTCCTGAAAGACACGATCCAAAAATATGTTGGTGAGAGTCCCTGTTCCATACCGGGACAGTTCTTCTTTGCTAAGCATGCCATTGTGATCTTTATCAAGGTTTAAGTACTGGCCTAGGGAGAAGATACAGAGGGCAAAACACAATATACCTATGTCAGCAAAGAACTGTTTTAATAGAGAAAGAAAATCTAGCACTTCTTTAACATTTAATTTTCATCATAAAGTTAATGCAGTTAAGTAGGAAGATGCTAGATCCACAATAATATTCATAGAGCACCATAAATGAGCACAGAACGTGGGGAGAGGGGAAGCGGGATTCCCATAATGAGGTGTTAATAGTTCTACTCTAAGGTAATGGCTCAAAAAGTAAAGACTGTGTATACAGAGAAAGGAGCAGAAGGCTAAGAACATCTTCTTTTAAACAGATCTGCTGTAAGCATGAAAAAAGAGCTAAAAGTGATGCAAAAGCATGAATAGAACAGTCAAAAGAAAAGGTTACAGAGGAATCTTGTACCCTGTGCAATAAGCGCAAAAATGACAGGATAAAACCGTTGTAAAGAGCAATAGTGGAGAACTGAAACCATAAAGAAAGTCAGGAAGATACACTGAAAGGATGGCTACAGGAGCTGAAAACACAAGTTATCAGGAGGATTTAGTGAGAAAAAAACAGAGGAAAAATAACACTAAGAATGTAACTAAGTCATAGGAGGCAGAGAGGAGGGGAAAAGAAAGAAGAAAAAAAAAGCATTCACGTATAAAGGAACCTACCATAAACTCTTAAGGCAGAAGGAGCAGAAAACCAATTTGTTTCCTGACTTTCTTTAGAAAGTTCTTCATCCCTTAACTAAGTGAAAAATAAAGTTAGAATTCAGAAAGAGTAAATTAAAATATAATAGTATATGCTAAGAGATCTTTACCTCCAGTAAGTCATCCAGGAAGCTGCAAGCTAAAATATCCTGTATCTTTATCTTCCCTGCAGCAAGAAAAGGAAACATTTTAACAGTTGCCCAGAGAACATACCCATTTTACTGTTCTCATTTAAGTGATTCTACTTAAGGAAGAAGTGTTCAGAGCAGAAAAAAAATGCATTCTTAAAAAAAACGAAGCCAAACACAGCCAACTTCTAACATCAAGGATAAGGGTGTAATTTAAGAGATAAAATAAAAATAGCTTTTATATGACTGAATAAAACTAGCTTGATATTGGCAGAAGAGGAATTACCCTGAAGCCTTAAAAGCCAGAAAACTAGATTAAAAAATAATGCAAGTCTTCAACATCAACTCAGTATGTAAAATAAAAAATGCAAAGAAACCATGCTTAAAACATTTTTTGGAATAATAGAGTCTCTTAAGTGATGTGGTATTTTTACATCTTCAGAAACTACAAATGTGACACAAAGCTAAAGTGCAGAATGCACTTCTGCTGGTGTAGCTTTGGCTGGTGCACAGACACTGCACAAGCAGCTGTGCAAAATAATGGCATTTTAACTTCACACACACCCTCCCTACCTGTTTATAATTACCTCTGCCAAAGGCTACTGCCCACACAATTCTGACATCTTTGAGTGGCACAGCTAGATCTTGAAAACACATGCAGTTTGTGACTTAAATCAAGGCCATACAAAAAAGCAAACTGTTGTCCAAGGGAGCTACATCTGTAACAAGAATTAGCAGCCATAACTGCAAACCTTTTCTAACGAGTTTACATGGTGCACACAAATTTAATCACAGGAGAAGCACATTACAGTAAGCATGCTTGAGCATTTCCACAGTTCTGTGAATGTCCTGTCAAGCAGTTCTGTCATTAGCTGCTGTGTTTTCTATTCACCCTAAACACTTATAAAATTAGCTACTGCTAATGATGCATTATGATGAAACAGGATCTTATTTGTCAGTTTCTGTGAGATAACCCTATAGTACCACAACTGACAGATATCTCATAGGAATTCATTAGCTGTAGATTATTAGACCCATGTAAAGACTCACAGTCTTCAGTAGAGATTAATCTTCAAATACAAGATTGCTGAACAAAAGCCTACAAAGACAACTACATATTACTTTGAAAACACAAGTAGCTTCAGTGGAAACATTTTAAAAGTGAAAATAACTCCCACATATTTAGAATTTTGAAAACACGGACCTACCTGTTCTGAGAGGATCCAGAAAGAAGAAAAACTTTCTAACTGCTGTGCAGACATAGAAGGAGTAAAAAGATTTTTCTAAACCATCCAGTTGTGGCAAAGTAGGGATGAGTTCCAAAATATAGTTTTCTAAATCCTGCAGAATTAGGAAAGAAAAGAAAACAAGCTTTAAACACTACTAGTGTTGCACATTTGCTATATTTCACTCTGGCTTTCAAGTATATTTTGATAAAAATACAATCCTGCAACAACACAGGAAAGAACATGAAAGCATGCAAAAGAGCTGCTGTCTCTGTGCAAGAAAACCTCGGTCATTTAGATACACATGCGATGCCATGACTGAAACGGTCTACAAATAAAGCAGAATGTTAAAGTAGATTATATTTACATGTAAGTATAAATGCATTCAACTGTACCTTTTTCAAATACCAATGCAAACCTCCTAACTGGATTATCCTATTGCTAGATATGATTTAATAGATCCTGAGTGGTAACTAGAACCTTCTTATTTATAATATTAATTCCTGTTAGAACAGGAAAATAATTCTTGAGACCCACTCTAGCCATCCTTTTTTGTGATTTCTACTATATCCTACTAAATCTAGTAAAGCGCTAATGACATGAAACCTTGATACCTACAATCTCTTTTTCAGAGAATTACCCATATGTTAAAAATGCTAGCAGCACTCTCACCACCAAATCTCTAGAATATAGAGAATGTTATTTATCCAAACGAATGTGCCCCCCCAATCTAGATTTTGATACAAGCTTTTACGAGATAAGGCTGGAAGAAAATTGGAGCCTTTCTGATGCTCTGTCGTTTGAGTAAAGACAGACATCAAGTTAATCAAGAATTTACTTACTGATTCTCTGAGGTAGCCCTGTCCTGCCACGTCATATAAACTGAGGCCTATTCTTGTCTGATGAAGCCATACTGTAAAACAGAAACAGAATTACAATGCAAGAAACCTAGGGGGTTTTTGAGGCCTCACCAAAATTTCAAGTTATTCCAAAGGCCACAAGGCACTGTTGGATGTTAAGTGCCTCTCTCTGTTTCACACTTTTCTGAGATTTAAGCAAAGCCATGATATGTACCAGCCCTGCTTAGAAATGCCGTTACAGTCTCTTAAGTTGGTAAGAGTCACTGGTGATATATGGTATGCTGTGGCCAAGACTACCTTATAATAACTAGATGTGAGAAACGGCTGAGCAGACACCACAATTTATCTGGTACATGGAATCACATGGATTCGTTCTGTCTTGCTGACCTAGAGATATGTGTAGCAGCACATTTTCACTGCATTAAAAGCAGCTCTACAACGTTGTATACAGATTGCTGGTCAGATTGCTACAGCCCCTTGTGCAGTACAAGACGCTGCAGCTACAGCCAAAGGTCCTGCCCTCACTTCTGAGTTACAACAGGAGAATCAGAATAGCACAAGCATCTATTTTTGCAATGAGAAGGTGCATTAATCAGACAATCTACAGGACAACTTGCTTGAGGCCATTGTTAAAGCACAGTAACAGAGATCGAGTACAGATTAGGCATGGAAACTATTATTCACACACTCCATGTTAAATTTAACTTCCATTTTATGAAGAAACAGTTTAAAACTTCCTCTTATGAAATGAGAGCTGTGCTTATACCAACGTTCATCTCTTCAAGGTAAGTGTCAAGGTGGACCAAGTATCAGAGATGACACAGGTTACATGGTGAAGCTGGTTTTTTTTCTGGTTGAAGTTTAAAGGTAAGTGCATCACACACCCTGAAGCGATTCAAGACACTTTTACCAGGCTTGACTTGTCTGGACAAAGCCAACAGACTCCACCACCTTTTCTCCTGAAGGGGGAGCGTTACTGGAGGCAGATAGTGCCTTGGGAAATGCTTCACCATTATTCAGTTATTAAGTACACCATTCTCTCTTCCTCTCCCAAAAGGACTGTGTAGATCATTAAGAAAGAGGAAGAAAGGCTGTAATCCATGGAGCGTAGGAAATCCTCCAGCTGGAGGTAGGAAGCAGAAAGACAAAATGCTACAGTTCAGCACAAGTATGTGATTACATGCAGCTAGCTATTCCTAAAACTTTAACAAAGAAAAACCCCAAAAGCTCATTAATGAGTTCAGCTGGTTAGAGAATACTATCACGCACCCGAGGCACAGCAGTTTAAGATGTTTTAAGCTCAGGGTAATATGGCCTCTCCCCTGCTGCAGCACCACTCTGGAAGCTGACTGCTCCGCTGCATGAGCTTCATCAAAACAAGGTGAAATGTGGGACTGCACTGCCCCAACTTGGATAAGCTCAAGCAGCTGCAGATTAACTCCCTTCGTCATGTTACTTTCCTCTCCCTTCAGTGCCACGCTGAAGGACACTTAGCAGTAAACATAGATGGAAATCACTAATTCCAATCTGAAGTATTTACTGAAAGTTCCTACAGGTATTTGTCTTTTCTTCCTTTAATATCTGGCCTGGTCTTTAGCTCTCATACAGAACGCTGCAAAACACAGACAATAGAAATGAGCTAAGCTACTGCACAGATATGCTACTGGGCTAACTTTATTAGGCAATTCCAATGCTGTAAGCTAGCAAAAACAAGGATCCTTATTCAACTGACCCAAGAGGGACTTGCAGACAAACACTACGATGGGACCTTATGCTGTCCAGACTCTGAAAATGAAACTGACTGAGATGGGACATGCCAAATGGCTTGTTGTCTCTAAATTTAGTGGCGGTTTTTGTTTGAGTTTTTTTGTTGTTGCTGGGGGTTTTTTTGGTTTTTTTTTGTTTGTTTGTTTTTTGTGTTTTTTTTAGAAAAAAGGTATCACCATGAATAAAGACTTAAAACTTCTGGATTAAACAAATGAAATAAAGAGCTCTGAAAGAACCTCTGTTGTGTCCATGTGGGTAAGGCTTTTTGAAATGCATACAATTTTCACAGACTGCTTCACAAGTCTCCTGTCCTGCAACTTTTGGGTTTGCTGTTCGTTGCAAATGGGCCTATCACTCCTTTCTTGCATACTCTGCATGTCTACTCACCAGGTTTCCTGCTCAAAACATCTCTCATCCCTTGCACCACAACATTTTAAATTAAACAAGCTGAGCTGCTCTGGGGAAAGGTGCCATTGTCCCCTCCTGAAGGCTCTACAAGACCCAAGAACCAGTAGCCAGGGGACAAGGCAATGAGGCAACCTTCCTTTTTGCTAGCCACCCTCATCTTTTTAAACAAGATCTAATACAGATCTAGAAAAAAAATTTGCATTTTTCAGCCCAAGTATTTATTTATAATAAAAAATACCTGAAAATATGGCAGGGCTATAGCGACAAGCACAAGAACGTATCAACATATTTGACAAGCACAGTTAGAAAACATAGATAACACCACTCTGTAAAAGGAAAAACAGCAAACGAAGCCATCTGCCAGACAGTCTAATCACAGTGGTTAGGATCACACTCTCTACATAACTTTACTGTTTTGCTCTTCACAGTATTGCCTGAATAAAGGAAATCAGAATGACAATATATATAACAAAAGAGATCAATGGCTGAGAGGAGAGGTGTATTTCAGAGGTAGGGTGAACTCCCACCTCCTAGTAACCGGAAAAACTCCCAAGCCTCCAGGAAAACAGCATTAGCAAACAAGGGCTAGATCTCACTGCTGTTGAAGAGAACAGCAAGTAATTAATAAAGTTTAAAATAGCCTTGAAAATAAAACAACTTCTCATTAACACAGAAGAAGCATCAACTAACCTTTTCGCATGACATAATTGAAAAATTGCATGATAGATATCCTCCCATAAGGATCGTTGTGGAGTAATTTAGCAAAGATCTTAGCTGTGAAGAACTGCCTGTAAAACATAAACACAAAGCTACTTCTGTACATCTGATTACACTGCACTGACAGACCCAGTTACAGTATCCAAAACTTACAGATACTTCAAAATACTGTTTTAACAATATAGAATATGTTCTGTATATTCCAAGACGTTCATTTGCTACACTGCACCCATCAAGTGGGACCCTACCAAGTAACAATGGTAAATGCAATAAAAAGCAGCTGCCTTTACTGCTCATGAGACTCTTCAGTGATGTGGGAGTTTTGAGAGCTTTCATTCTATTTAATTCCTCTTTAGTACAATATGTTTGGTAGCTTCCAATCTTCTGCAACGATATGCACATAAAAGGAACTGCCAGTACTGACAACTAATCTGCTTCTGTCCAAAATTCAGTCACAAAGTTATGTGCACAACAGCAGTCTCCAGCAGCAGCATAAAGAAGGAATATTCACTGTATGCTGTACACGGAACATCTGGTAGGAAATTTTCCAACAGAAGATATTAGGAAAGCTTGAACAATATCACTGGAGACATGATTTCCTCTTCAAATACAAAATGTGCTGTTTACTGGCCACTAACATCACAAAAATTCTCACGCTGATAAGAATTTCTTCAAAAGGACGCAGCACCCCTCTTGCAGACATCTCTATCAAAAGTTCCCTGAGAGATGTAGGGCAGTACCCCTTTGCAAGGACGCAAAGCAACTAGGTCATCAATAACTGCATGGATGTGATTTTGTCTCACCACTAAACTGTTTCCATCTATTTTAGCAACTGAAAGTTACAGCAGCACTTAGGTTTAGCCAAAGTAAGTATATATAAGAGAAGAAAGCCTTACTTGCATTTAGGTCCAGCTTTTTCACCAACTTTCAAGAAGTTCTCATAGTTGATCATTGCTTCTTCCCCAATCATTGGTGATGTCTGATGTTTGTCCAGTAGAAACCACAGATTCTTAAAAGGCATTTATATTTGGTTAAGAAGAGATCTCTCTAGAGATGTCAACGTGCTTAAGACAGAGCATCTAAGAAATGCAGCAAAAACGTGGTTTTGCTGCAAGATTATCTCAGTTAATCAGTACACATCGTCAGTTCAGCCAGAAAAGCAAGCAAGCGATACTTCTACTGCTCTAAACTGGTGTTAAACACACACACACAGTCTCTCCCTCTCTCTCACTCACTAGGATTTCTAGGGTCACATCCCTCTTGTCTTTGCACTGCAGTAAACTCAACCATCTCTGGAGTCTCTCTCAGTGATACATAAACAGAACTTATTTCTTCTTCTGGGCCCACTAGGGAAATTGTTGGAATGTGCTGGAAAACCAGAAGCCATTTATTTAGTCCTCATATACATTATAACAAGGAAGCATTACACTGACATTACCAGCCCAAGACTGTGCAGCACTTCAGCTTTAGCTAGTCCTTCACAACCAGCCAACATGCCCAAATACAAAGCACCTTACCACAAGATTCTGTGGACAGATAGGAGATAATCAAATGCTGCAGAAAGAGGAAATCTTGTCAGAAGCCATTATGAGACATACAGAAAACATTTTCTTACCTGCAGCTCTTCATTATCCAACAGCTCTCTACTTTTCCTTTGCAGGAAGACTGCTCTAGATTCTTCTCTTAATTTCTGAAGCAAGACTTCATCTTCAGCTGGCAGCTAGGAACAGTGTGGTATTTCAATTTTCTGTACAGTGCTACCATTCAAAAACTACTCATCTAGCAAGTACTCTTAGGTAGTCCTGTCTCTCACGCTGTGATGAAGCTGTTTACTTGACAGAAAACCACCTATCTACCAGAATGCTGTATGGTACCTGCTCCTTCTACAGGGGTATCACTTGCATACTGTCTCAAACTATTTCAATATCGAAATATTTATTTAAAGCAGGACATCTTTAACATGAGAGACAGAGACCTACCCCTTACCTGATAACCCATCTAGTAAGCACTTTCCCACAGCTGCAGGACAGGAGGGCTCACACATAAGACATTTACTATGGTGTTTTTACTCAGGAGAGAGCAGCACTTTCTATTTTGTGGTAGGCCTGGCTCTCAAAAGTGCGAATGTCTACTAGACTTGTTTTGGCCAACAAAACAGATGAAAGAACACGTAGTATGAAAGTTCTGCCAGTGTTTACAGCAAAACTGTAGAGCATTACCAGAACCTGGATGGTTGCATATGTATTCATCAACTAAAACATAGGTACTTTAGAACTCAATTGGCAGAAAGTTATGATCCTAAGGAATACAGGACCACGCAAGGTTAGATAGCAGCTGAGTGGTCAAGCTGACAAACGCCAGCCACAAGTTCATGATGTTGAACTTGTGCTCCCATATTCCCCCATCCCAATCTGATTCATCTCACACACAAGACGTTGGACCAAGCATTTCTGCTGGATGATGCGAGCAACAGACCTATCTTTAGTCTGCAAGACCAATGACCCACCATTTTCACAAAGCAGCATCCCATCGTGTCTAAACAGAAATAGGAACATATGTATTTATAACACCGGTATGTCAAAATTTAGTTAAAACAGGAAGTTTCTCCGGAGGAGAAAGAGGACTTCCTATCTTAAGTAAACAGCCAAGCCTACTGCCTGGTTAGTAAACTATTTAATGGCCTTCGATAAGAAGCTTAGTAATTATGTGAAACTGCTGACAATCCACAATTGTATAAAACAAGAAATTACGCTTAGCGATCCACATCATTCGGATTTCGATCTGCTTAAGCTTCTCAAGCTGAAGCGTCCCTTTGAATAAGTGCAACTGTCTTTATAGCACAGAACGGCCTCTTGTTGAAGTTCATCTGGATACCTTACTTACCCTGTAGTAAAATCGTGGTATGTTCATATATGAGGTACTGCCACTTTTTCTTCCTCCTTTCCATTCCACGTAATATTTTGTGAACAATTCCATTTCCTCATCTTTTAGCTCTTGTTCGCTCTTTTTGGCTGATTAACACAGAAAAGAATTTTCGCGTTGTCCTCCAAACAGAGTTTTAACGTAACGAGGAGCTTGAAAAGCAGCAGCTAATGGTCTGCGGCTCGCACAGCTACGCTGACGTTCAGCGACGCAAGTATTAGGTGGAAACGCACGGAGCACAGGCCCGTGACGCGACTCGGACAACGGATACGCGGAGTACGCCCCCCCTCCGGTCCACCCGAGCGTCCGCCCAGCGCCGCTCCC